TTAGCCCATGGTACATATATAGCAAACTCCTTCCACCCTCATGTACCTCTGATAACTCTGATTGTTAAGATTTTTTTTTTATAAACAGAAAACTTTAATGAATTAGATATTGGCATGAACTAGGAAGAAACTACATTTTAAACTTTATTCTGAATATATATATATATAGAGAGAGAGAGCTCCTTTGTCATCTAATGTTTACTTTTGTTTGGAACAATCGCTTTATACCCGGAAGTACTGTGTTTTCCTGAGTACATGATAATCAGGCAGGCTCTGTTGCTGCTTGTTGCAGAAACAGCTTGTTGGCTTCCACATTGTCACTGTAAAGATGTGGAAGGAAATGCATATCTTTCTGCCAACATATAGTAGCAGATGTTGAAGAAACTGTACTGTTCTAGTGAGGAAATGAATAAAGTTGAAAGGAAGGGAGAATGAATGTGCTGTTGTTGTGTGTGTCGAAATGCTGTTATTTAAATATTGGTTGGTTATTTTGTGGTAGTGGTGGTGGGGAGGTGGGAATGTACCTGGCCCTTGGGACTCTCCGCAGGTCACGTCCCTCACCAGCCTTACTTCATATGCTCCTTGATTGTTTTTGCCTGGCTGGAATGTGTTCGTGAACTTTGGTAATGCATTTTGGTTGCCTGGATGGAAGATAGAGACGTGTCTGTGTAGAGAAATCAACCTACCACACAAAGGTAAATGTGCATTGGTTGCTTTGCCCAGTTTTGCCTCTGTCTCTGTCCACCCCAGCATGTAGCTCCCAGAAGGTCGCCCAGGTGGGAAAGGTAGCCCATGGTCTGAAAAAGATTTCCCACCCTGGGACTAGCTAGAATAAGTCTAGCAGGTGCGGCAGTAGCTCTACGCAGTGTGATTCATGACTAGCTGTATTGCAGGATCTGCTGCTGTGATCCCATGCCCACAGTTCTTCATCTGCAGATGAACACCGCACGCAATTATTATGCTGTAATTTCAGCATCTTCACTGGCTCAGCTCTCACCCAGGGGCGTGTTTTTGTTGAGAATCAGGTTATGGTGGAAGCTGTAGTGTCTTTAAGAAGTATGGTTTAATTACACATATTTACACCTGAGTTTAGATGAAAGGGGGTGCAGATCTTAAACCATTGTCATCTCAAGAGCAGCTTGCTCTTCATAGCAGCCCAGCATTGCAGACAGAGCCATTCTAAGCACCATCCCTTTGCTCCTGCTTCCCAGCTAGTTCTAATGGCTGCTGCCGCGTTTTCCCTGTGACATCACACTCAGAACCATGGCAGTTTCCCCATTGCCTTCCAAACTACCCAGCCAGTTGCTGGCTGGCACACAGGCTTAGTTAAGCTGATTGCTTCTCTCCCTGTCTCTTGTTAGCTTAATCGCTTCCTGATGGCCCCCCTGACCAGTGGCTTCCTGGTCCCAGAGAATGGGTCTCACCTATATTTTAACACTTTGCTAATTCCAAGGTCTGGCTACAAGCATTTATTAAATTGGCGAACTTTTGGGAATTTGTCCCCCCCCCCAACTTATAACAATAGCACCAACAATAGGTTAGTTTAAATTTTAAAATGGCTTAAATTCATCATTGCAGTTGGATTTATTGCACTTTGGTATATAATCTGATTCAAGCGCTGAAAACTAGTATGCTGTAGAAAGACACACACACACAAATAAAAAATGAGAGTATAGCAAGTCGTGAATGGTGGCAATGCTGTCACAGGTGCTTGTCTGCTGCAACTTGATATAGGATTCTCAGTTCTTTTTGAATCACAAAGAAAACACTCAAGAGTTCTTAAATACCTTTCTTCTATGTGTCTTGAGTCCAATAAATGTGTTTCATTAATATACTTTTGAAAAGCACCTAGTTTTGCTGGCTGCTGACTATCATGAAGTATTTGCTACAATTGCGAGTAAGCTTTTATCTGAAACGGAGCCAGAAACATAACCGATTGACCTAAAAACCCCAGCTTTTGTTTGAAACGCCTTCATTCATATCAGTACAATGCTTAGCACAAGAACCAGAAGGAAACTAACACTTCCCCCTTGAAGTGATTCTCATCCCCTGAGAACCAAACTTGAGTTCAGTGGGGGCAGATAAGGGAGATTTTTATGGTTTCCCCGTATTAAAATGCTTAGTCCAGAGCATAATAAAGATTTTCAGTTCATACACATTCTGAATAATGTTCTTCCAGCCCACTTTTGCGTCACCTTCTTCTCCCACATAGATGCTTCCCCTCCCCCCCAATAATTGTGTTGTCCAAAAGTGTGAACTATGGTTTACACTTGCCTGCAAACCAGAAGCAAATCCTGATGTGCCAGGCAGCAAGTACAAACCATAGCTTACCTGTTCGTATGAAGCAGCAATTTGTGGTTTTCTTTTTAAAAAAACAGAACTGGAACTAAAATAGCCAAGCATGATTGGAAGGTCAACAAGGGAGCACATGATCCAAAAGCACATCCGTGCTTGTACTCTTAACATTCTGGACTGCTGGGTCTGGACTTACGGGGACAAAGGTCCCTCTGCCTCTCCACCTTAGTCGAGGAGGAGGCCAGGCCATGGTTTACTACTTAGATAGCTACGCAGTCCCATAATCTATACCCGAGTAAACATGGACCCTGTGGAAAAGTTAAAGTGCATCTTACACTGCTTTCACTTAAGCAATTGCAGCTTTGAGACACTGCCAGAGCTCTCTCACCGCGTTGCCAAAGCTGGATAACTGAAGTGACTTGCTTACTAGGCTCTGGGAAGGTTGTGGGAAGGCCCTACGAAGCTCCTACGACCTTTCCAGAACCCAGTAAGCAGCCCTCCACCTTGTGGGAGGGCAGTTCTGGCAGTTCCTGGCTTTAGGCAGTTTTGCATTTATGTGTGGCCCCTGGAATCAAATTCCCGAGTAGCATGCAAGCTACCTGTATATGCAAATTGGCAATGAATAACACTTAATGCACTGATTAACATGAAGTTTTTGACATGTAATAGCACTTTTTGGCCTTTTTTGTTTCTGTTTTGTGGAGCAGTTGTAGACCTGCAGACACATTTGGAATACTGGAGAGCAAAGATTTATGCAGAGGGAGAGTGGGTAGATTCTGGTATTTTTCCATTGTGCAGTGACTTCTGCTTGTTACGCCACTGTGTTCTCAGCAAGCAGGACTTTTGCTCCTTTATTGAAAGCATAGCGACATCTGAGTTTAAACACATGTTGCACCATATCATTAAGGAAATGTTCCACAAGCGTTTTCCCATACGGTAACTACAAAGTATATGGTAAGATGGGAAAATATAGTTATTATGAATTGCCTATGGATGAAAATGATTACAAACAAACAAAGGTAAGGATGATATGGTAATAGATAACATCACTGTTTTTCTGTTTTGCAGAAAATTTAAGTGTATAAATGTAAAAGATTGCTAGCACTTTGGCATTAGTTTATGATTCTATATACACAATCTAGTATTCCTCTGATCTTATTTATATATATAAATGTTTTGGGTAGACCGCAGAGCAAGTATGGGTTGACTTACACAATCTGCTTCTTGATGTTTTCACCTGGAATCCCCACAATGAATTGCTACAATCTAAATTTGCAAAGCAAGAATGCCTACTAAGAGACCGCACAGTTAAAGCTACTACAGTTAAATCTACTACTAAGAGTCCTACAGTTAAAGCTAGTATTAAGTGACCTCCAGTTCTGTTCTCAGGAAGGCAAAAGTAGCTTAATGGAATGGACCAGAGCTTTCCAAACTGTGTGTCATGACACATTAGTGTGTCAGCGGCAGTGTGTAGGTGTGTCGCGTGAATGTTCCCCACGCTTCTCCCGGGGCTGGAAAGGGGTTAGTTTAACCTCTGGTTTGCTAGTAAAACTGAATTACTGTGTTGCAAAATGATGCATGTCTAAAAAGTGTGTCACCAACATGAAAAGTTTGGAAAGCTCTGGAATACAGTGGTGCCTCGCAAGACGAAATTAATTCGTTCCGCGAGTTTTGTCGTCTTGCGATTTTTTTTCGTCTTGCGAAGCACGGTGTCGGGAAAGTTTTGGAAAAGCTTCAAAAATCACCAAAGTCTTTAAAAACCTCAGAAAAGGCTACCACACCGCGTTCTATGAGTTGCTCCTCAAAGTCAAGTCGCAACTGTATTAACGGTGTTAAGAAAAAGGAAACAAACTTGCAAGACGTTTCCGTCTTGCGAAGCAAGCCCATAGGGAAAATCGTCTTGCGAAGCAGCTCAAAAAACAAAAAACCCTTTCGTCTAGCGAGTTTTTTGTCTTGCAAGGCATTCGTCTTGCGAGGTACCACTGTAGACCATAGTCCTCCAAGTCCAGCAGGTGCCAGGTAGTACAGTGCAAAGCCAAAAACCTTTTGTCCACCTCAAGACTAAACATCAGTCAGATGCAGTTGCTGCAAGTTGCCCTATATTTTATTATGGACTTTCTTTTTGGGGGGGGGTGGATATTACATAAGATTGTAATAGGGAATGGGGAGGCCACAAAGCTCTGCTACATATGCAGAAAATTGGTGTTTGGCATTTAGGATCCTGCTTGATGTGATATCAGATAATTCTAAAATATGCAGTTTTGATTGTGAACTTTCTTTGTTTGCACCTTAATTTAGTGAACTTTCTTTTCAGAATCAAAATTTAAAAAATTCCTTCCAGTAGCTCCTTAGAAGAGTAATTACTGTAAGATTCACACACAACATAATGCAGGCTGAGATTCATGGAAAGCAGTAGGAAGGGATTTCTGAATTGGGATAAGCTGAAAGTCTAAGAGAGTGAAAGTTGTTAATTTTACCTTTGATCAATGAGCAGACAGAATTCTGACCTGCACTTTAAAATCCAATTAAGCAGTCTGCATATCGTTGCAAATACTGATAAGTTGTTGGGGCTCTTTTCTGTGGGGAAAACTACTTTAAAGTTGCCTTTACTTAAGTAAGCATTGTGCCTGTGCTCTGTAGTGACAGTATAATCCTCTATTTAATATGGATTTTCATAACAAAGGTAGCAATCTAGGGTACAGCTGTGCATGCTGGCTCAGTCTGGAGAGCATGAGACACTTACTCTCAGGGTCGTGCGTTCGAGCCCCACGTTGGGCAAAAAGTTTCATTACAGGCAGTTGGACTACATGACTTTTGTGGTACCTCCCAATTCTATGTTTATGCATTGCTTCTGAGAAGTCTGAAGCGCACAACTATGCAGTAGTTTGTCTCCAGACCCATGTTTAGACTAGCTAGTAAACACTAAACCAGATATCCTTTAATTAAATCCTTCCTTCCTTTCACATCTCCAACAGAATCCACAATTAATTTCATATGGTTAATATAACAATACGGCTTTTACCCAAGTGATATGGTACATGTAATGTTCTCAGCTGATCCAGTCATTCTACACAAATAAAGCAAAGTTGGGCCACATGCCTTTAGCAGGAAAACACTAGATTTCAGAATGTTGTTGCTTGTTTCTCTCTCTCTACAAGTTTCTACAGGGCGGAAATGAGTTCAGAAAACACTGCATCTTGTGCTGCTTGTTAAATTGTTTTAGAGAAGCATAGCAAATGAAGCATGTTAATTGGCAAGGGCATCTGAATTGGGAAGGTGGGCACTTACATCTTTGGGTTGAGTTTAATGAGTACTTATCAAACCAACTGAATAAGGTTTAGATTTTGACTTTAAAATAATTGACCCTTATTTATTTAAATTTACATCCTGAAACTTGAAATCTCAAATTCCCAGAATGTAGTGGCTAGTTTTTATACATTAGGCATTTTGAAAGAAGAAGAATGTGTTGAAACACCTGAACAAACAAAATATTGGAACAAATTCTTAAGCCTACTCTTAAGCTGTTGTTTATGGGGTGAAAAGCCAGTGGAGTGATAGTATCCTGCAGAATTTGCAGCCAGCATTATATCAAGGGTTTCCTCTGCCCACACTTCCAGTTATGTGTGTATTTACCATTGTCTGCTTTGTGTGTCAGAGTGCTGTCATGCCACAAAGGATAAATACCGTATATCCTCATGTGGCTCATGCCACAAAGGATTCATGTATTGACCTAAATTTTTTCATAAAACTACTGTTGAGGAGGAAATTAATAGAATCCCCTTGTTTAAAAATTCTGTTTTGTTCCTTTTCATTTTTCCTTGTTTTAAAGTTTTTCCCTTTGTTTTTCCACATTGTGTCCTTAACCTCACCCTGCCTGTTTATAGCTCTGGTTGAAGCTTTGCTGATGGAAGATGTCATTGTTTTCTACCTTCAATTTCTTGCTCTTGATAGGGAGGGAGCTGAGTTCATGGCCTTACACCTGCTGCTTGTTAACTGAGGACTTATATTTTGAATATATGGGCAAAGATGTATGGCATCGTGTGCTCTAGGAGAGAGCAGGGAGTGGGAAGTCAGCAAGTGAAGAAATGGGAACTTTCTGAGAGGGAAAACAGGCAGGCATGGAAGCGAGGATGAAACCAAGGCTGCGCTTTGATCATTAGCTCCTCTGTGGCTTATGAGATACAGATGTAGAACTTGCTTGGGATATGTGCATGGCTTAGTATAACTGCATTGTTTTAAAGCTGCATCTGCCAACTACATTTGACCCGTTCAGGCATTCTAAATCCTTCATGAGCTGGAGAAGAAGGTTGAGTGCACTAGCTCCAAGCATAGCTGTCAACCGTCCTTTTTTGGCGGGAAACTCCCTTATCCCAGCGCCATGTCCCACTGCTGTCCCTTATTGATGATGTCCCTTAAATTTCCTGGGTTTCAAAGGAAGCAGCTCCTCTCCCTCCCTCCCTCCCTCCCTGCCGGCCAGGGAGGAGGCTTGGCTGCGTTGCTCACCCAATAAGGAGTCTAAGAACGACTGGGGGGTGGAGCTTGCATGCCTTGTGCTGATGAAATCGACCACGTTGCCTGGGGACTTGCTTTTGCTCAGCGCTTCCCAGTGGAGAAGTGACGGTGGTTTTCCTTGCTGCATCCCCTTTGCCGGGTTGCTGCGCTGTGGGAACCACCGCTTGAGGCTTCGTTTGGCTGCTGGCTGGGCTTTCTGCCTTTGGCTCGGAGGGGCTCAGAAGTTGAACATACCTGTGCCCGGAAAATCCCTTATTTTGGCTGCTGATCTCTTATTTTCGAGGCTGCTGGTCCCTTATTTTCAAGTCTGAAAGTTGACAGCTGTGGCACCAAGCCCCTTGCCATCCTTGTTGCCTTCCACAAGGTGGTGGGATAACTTACAAAATAGAGAGCCAGTTCAGCTCTTGTGGACGCCATATGCAATATTGAACCCTGATCTTCCATAGTCAGAGCAGGTGCCTCGCTGCATCTGCTCTCCAAGGGCAGAAGGGTAGTGGTGATAGAGCTTGTACACTTGGTCTTTTTCTCCCTCATTTGCTTGAGGGATTTCAGGGTGCCTGAATACGGCTTTTCCCAAGATGTTATTTCAAAAGCCTATTACTTAAATTTTTTAAAAGGAATTAGATTCAAGTGTTTCAAGCTACTGTACAGTCTTTCGTTTGGAAAGATGTTTTCCTCTAATCTGTCTTGACGCTTGCAGTTACATGGTCTGGAGGGAAAACTGTTGGGTTAAAAGCTACCCTGGATAGAAGAGGAGGCTTGGTAGCTTGTTTAAAACATTTATACCTTGCCTTTCCATAAAATGTCCAAGAAAGCTAACAACATTTTATCAGCTGAGCAGAATCTGTAGCAGTCATCATTGGTTTTTATACCATTAAGCATTCTACAATTATGCCTAGCTATATTTTAAGATGAAACCCTAGTACAATTCTTCGTTTTGTTATCAATGTTCAAAATAAGACAGAACCAAGGACAGAGTAGTTTCCTAATAGGGCTAAAATTGAATAGTCAGGTAAAAAGGAACTTAATGCCAGTGTGGTGTAGTGTAGTGGTTAAGAGCGGTAGACTCGTAATCTGGTGAACTGGGTTCGATTCCCTGCTCCTCCACATGTAGCTGCTGGGTGACCTTGGGCTAGTCACACTTCTCTGAAGTCTCTCAGCCCCACTCACCTCACAGAGTGTTTGTTGTGGGGGAGGAAGGGAAAGGAGAATGTTAGCCACTTTGAGACTCCTTCGGGTAGTGATAAAGCGGGATATCAAATCCAAACTCTTCTAATGCATCATTACCTTTGAAGTTTTACTACTCCCTTGCAATAGGTTGCATTTTTGGTTCCACATACACCTGTTGTCATTGCTTTTTTCCCAGTAGTTTTCCATAATTTAAGATGAATTAATGTACTTCATTTCCAAAAGTAAGGCAATATGTATTTTGGAGCAAGTTCATGCATGTGAACATTAAAATTACCAACATGGCTCTTATTTGAGGATCTTTGTTCTTTTCCTTTTTGTATATTTTTAAAATTTGTTTTAAAAAAGTATAAGCATACAACAAAAAAACAGTTCCAAATCCAAATATCAAGATTGCTCTGAATCTCCTAACTTCCCCCCATCCCTTCCATGGGTCCTAACGGTATTTTTTACAACTGCATATCAATACTTATCCAAATTTTTAATCCTTCTAAATTATCCATACTTTCCATTACTTTACAAGTGTGGTTTAAATCCTGCTAATGTTTTAACCTGTTTACAGTGGTCTCGTGAATAAATTATGAACTTTTCCCATTTCTTGTTAAAGTTCTTGTCTTCTTGATTTCTGAGCTTCCTAGTTAATTTTGCCATTTTGGCATAGTCCATCAACTTGGTTTGCCATTCTTCTCTGGTCGGGGTAGGGGGGGCCTTTGTTCTTGAAGTAACAAGAAATCATTACCCATGACAGTGAGAGTTTGGATTTGATATCCCGCTTTATCACTACCCGAAGGAGTCTCAAAGCGGCTAACATTCTCCTTTCCCTTCCTCCCCCACAACAAACACTCTGTGAGGTAAGTGAGGCTGAGAGACTTCAGAGAGGTGTGACTGGCCCAAGGTCACCCAGCAGCTGCATGTGGAGGAGCGGGGAATCAAACCCAGTTCCCCAGATTACGAGTCCACCGCTCTTAACCACTACACCACGCTGGCTCTCAGTCAGGTTTCCAAATGTCAGTCACATGATTTATTTATTGATTACATTTGTCTCCTGCCCTTCCTCCAAGGAGCTCAAGGTGGTGGACACAGTTCCCCCACCTTTTACCTTCACAACAGCCTTGCGAGGCAAGTTAGACTGTGTATCAGTGGCTGGTTCAAGAGCTTTAGGGCCTCTGTGTGGATATAAACCTGGGTCTACACCCCACCGACCCCCATGTAATAAAATCATAATGTAATATGATTTTCTTTAGTTGGACTCTAAGACTTGTAAGATTTCAATTTGCTTTTGTTCAGAAGTGTAGGTTCATTTAAAATTATTACTGTTTTGTATGTTCAGCCATTTTTAGAGCTGCGTTAGAATTGTTCTATTGAAATCAATTGTTCTGCCGTTGCTATAATTTTGTTATTGGTAGATTTTATAATAGTTTTATAGTGATTATGTGCCCCCTTGGAAATGCTTTATGTTTTGAAAGGCAGCGTAGAAATCTTCAAAATAAATTTATCAAATATATTTAGGCTGTGATACAACTATTCAAAAGCCATTTAGAGTGGCATTAAAGACGGACTATGAGGCAGCATTTCCATGCCCTATAGCTCTGCTTTGATGTTATTTCTTTTTATGCAGAAAATCTTATCTAATGGTGGAGCTAAAGCAGAGAAGAAACAAGTCGTTCCATGCTGGATTCTTTCATTAAAAACAACAACACAGAACTGAACATTACTGTGTTTATTCCATTTTCTGAATGTGTCTCTGTGTGTATATATATATATGTTGGGGTGTGTGTGTGTACATCCACCCACTCCCACACACCCACACCCACACCTACTTAGAGAAGGCAAAGCTTCAAAGGAATAATTTCAAAATGCATAAAATCTATTCATATCTTGTGGCTGCAATCTGGAGGGCTGTCAGTAAATGAAAAATATACCACATGTGCAGATGCATGCACAGATGTACAAGTTCTTCACAAGCTACTTACGAATAAGATGTGCTTAATTAGACTTGATTCTAAAGACTTCACTCTCATTCCTCTTCCACTGAATGTATAAAAACTAAGTAAATAATGGAGTTTCCAAGTGAATCAG